GCTAGAAAACTAATGGAAGAGTACAAAAAATGGGGCCTCGAAGTAAATTTACAAAAAACGCAATATCTTTGCATAGGAGGAGAAAATACTGCAGATGACCTCGACTTAGAAGACGGGAAAATTAAGAAATGCGATCAATGTATATATTTGGGGGTAAAACTAACAAAGACAGGAAGAACTGATGAAGCCATAAAAGACAGAATAACCAAAGGGAAACGAGTTATAGGTGCATTGAATTCAGTACTATGGCAGAAAAATATAAGACCGGAAACGAAAAAAAGAATATATAACACAATATTGAAACCAGTAATCGTGTATGGCTCAGAAGTATGGCAGTTATCACAAAAACTTAAAGGTAACCTCTTGGCAGTTGAAATGGATTTTTGGAGGAGAGCAGCGGGAAAGTCTCGATTAGAACATGTGAGAAATGAGGACATAAGAAATCAAATGAATGTACAAAGATCAATTATAGAAGACATCGAAAAACAACAACTGACATGGTACGGACATGTTAGACGTATGGGGGAAGAAAGACTACCAAAAAAAATATTAGAATGGGTACCACCAGAGGAAAGAAAACGAGGACGACCACCAACAACATGGATGCAAGGAATTTCAAAAGCCATGTCAGCAAGAAATCTATTTGAAGAAGACTGGCAGAATAGACAGGCTTGGCGAACGGGAACCCAAAGGCGGATTACGCTATAAACGGGATATATATATATATATATATATATATATATATATATATATTATATATATATATATATATATATATATATATATATGATATCTATGGTAATATGCTCTCCCAGAATTTTAATTCTTGATGAATTCATATCTTCTTTAAATTCGTCTCTGTTCTCATTTAATAGATGTTTATAATAATGTGTCCAATCCTCGGGATTTATGGGATTTAGAATCACTTTCTCGTTAGTCGGCTTCTTGACAGAGTTTATAAACTTTCACGCCTTAGTGCATTTTCTTCTTCCAATATAAGATTCTATCTCTCTGCACCTTCTATCCCATATCTCATTTTTGGAGGTCATAATTATCTTTCTAGTTTTCTTCTTCATTTCATTGTATCGGTCTTTGTCTGCGTCATCTTTTGTATTCAACCACTTATGGTATAATCTTTTCTTTTCTGTTACCGTATTTTCAACGTCTTCATTCCACCAAAGCTTGTTACTAATTTTATTTTGTTTGATTCCTAAGACCTCCTGTGCTGTTTGATGAATACTTGATATTATGTTCTCATATATGCATTTGGTATTTGTTAGTGTTTCATTTGTCTTATATAGTGTACGGGTGCTCTCATGAATTAAACTGGACAGATTGTATTGAGGAAGATCAATTTTTTCTAAAAGTTGTTCGTGATGATGATAGTGATGATGATATCCTACCTGCGATTAGGAGACGGCACTTAAAGAAGAAGAGAACGAATTCTTAGAAGAATTTTTGGGAATATTTTGTCGATGGTAATAAAGATTTTCGTCTAATTGTCAGGAGATGTTAGACTGAAACGTAATTTTTTGATCTCATTAAGAGAGGAAATTCGTGTACCGTAATTTCATATTTATTTTTTAACACTTGAGTCTTTGTAACATGATAGAAAACTCATATCAATGTCACTATATTAAGGGTATTTTAAAAATTCGTTTGCGGTTGACTGAACCATTATTGTATCAATTTGAGCCCGACACACGTTTACTGTCAGATTTTCAGTTTCAAAATAATTATCAGTAAACAAAGATACGAGTTTAATTTTGATTGCTGTTTACATTTGACGAATACGATTTAGTCAGATTACAAAATTTGCATACATTTATTGAGTGTTGTTTCGTTCTACAGTAGGCCTGTCACATAGCTTATCCCAGATTAAGGTTGATGTACATGCCAGGAATGTAGAAATTAATAAGTAGCTCTGGATTTCATGGTGTATAAATTTAACATTAACTAAATACTCGAAACGGCCCTACTCATAATGATGAAGGTTATATTATCTTTAATTATTTATGGTAAGTTATGTTTAATTATTTAATTTACCTTAATTTGGAATATTAACGTTTATCTTTCACTTACTTCACTTGAAAATGTTTATGGATGGAAGTTAAATTTTTATCTCCTGGACATGAAATATTATGTTTTTATATATGTCTAAATAAATGTGTTTTTAAAGGTCTTCCCATCCACGAAACACATTATTAGTTCAGGAAAATAAGCAAAACAAGTACTCTTTGTGTGACACTGACCACGCCAGTTAAACGACAGTTTCTTTGACTGGTTAATCCAGTAAATGACAGTTTTGCAGTGTAATTTTCCTCGGCACTACTGATTTGCTTAAAATTTTGGATTTATATTCCCTTACCACCTACTTCAGTTTTGGACTTGAGCCCATGGTTGATTTTAATTGGGGAATGAAAGACGCTGTTACGAATATGTATTATTTGTACGGAATATTAATTAAAACACCCTCTATTTTAGTTATTTTGTTTGTTTTATCATGTAACCGTACATTTTACCGAATTTACCGTTGCTACTGTTCTAAAGACTATGTCAGATATATTAAAACTTCAGAAAACAAACTGTCACCAATTAGGGAAAATATTAAATAATTTTGCAGACAGTAAGAAAACATCAAGAGAACATCGAAAACATTTTGGATTTTTCGAGAAATTTTTGATTTAAATGTGTTAACGCAACGACAAAATGTGTTAATGCAGAGACATGAATGTAGATGTATATTATGCATGTTTAATTGACTATCGAAAAACATTTGACTGTGTTAACCATCAAAAGATGATTGAAATTCTAAAATCAACTAAAGATAACGAACAAGACTTGCGAATTATCTCAGAACTATACTGGCATTGAAAATTCTGTTCAGTTTAAAGAATGAACGAACAAAAATGATAAAATCAGACAATCGTAAATGGACCCCGCCCAATAATACAGACCACTTTCGTGACATCATTTACCATAACCTTTAACAAATCAACGACGAAACACAGGTCGAAGTTTTAAACGAAAGTATCGTAAAAGCCCTTAAAGAAGCGAAGAAGTTGTGCTGTCCTAAAATGAAGAAAAAACACGAGAAAATAAGTCTCAACACTAAAAATCTGATCAAAGAAAGAAAAAGGCTAAAGGACAGGTATAACACAAACTACGCAGAAATTATCCAACTCAGTAAAACAATAAACAAATAAATCCAAAAAGACATACGGCAACATAACATGAGAGGTGACAAGGGTGATAGAGAAAAATAGAAGTCTGAAAGTTCTAAGACACAACATGTCCACGGGAAAAAAGAACATACATAAGTTAAGAAATAAATAAGACGACATTATGACTGATAAGGAAGAAATAGTAAAAACAGTGGAAGACTTCTACAGACAACTCTATGAAACAAGTGAATCCGATGAAAGACGCCCTTTACCAAAGATAGAGAATCAAGGCTCAGAATTAATGCCGAACATAACTGTTGACGAAATTAACAATGCGCTTCGGGTGATGAAGAACAATAAATCCCCAGGTGAAGACAGGGTAATGACCGAAAGCCGAAAACTAGGAGGAAATAAGCTCTTACTGACACTTGCTAAACTGTTCAATAAATGTCTATGCGAAGCCATAACACCGATGCAGTGGAACAACGCGGAAATCATCTTACTTCATAAGAAGGGAGATATCTGCGACCTTAGAAACTACCGCCCCATTAGCTTGTTGTCACAAGTATATAAGCTATTTACAAGAGTAATTACCAACAGGCTAGGAAGTAAATTGGATTTCTATCAGCCAAGAGAGCAAGCAGGTTTTCGAGCAGGATATGGCAAGAATGATCATTTACAAGTAATTAAGAACTTAATAGAAAAGAGTGTTGAATATAACAAGCCATTATTCATGATATTTGTTGACTACGAAAAAGCTTTCGACACAATAAGTCATCAAAAGATGTTAAAAGCCTTAACAGAGTGCCGTATAGATCATCGCTATATAAACATGATAAAATACATCTATCAAAATGGGACAGCAAGCGTGAAACTGGCAGATAAAAGACCAACGTATTTAAAATAAAACGGGGAGTGCGAAAGGGAGACACAATTTCGCCAAAATTGTTTACAACATTATTAGAGCATATGTTTAAGAACGCAAATCTGAGTGAAAAAGTAATTAATGTCAATGGAGAAATGCTTAGTCATTTAAGGTTTGCTGACGATATTGTCCTTCTTGCTGACAGAATCGATGATGCAATATCGCAACTGGAGAAACTATACCTAGCCTCCCTACAAGTAGGATTAAAAATCAACCACACAAAAACACAAATCATGACAAATCTTGTGTTAAGCGAAAAGATTTTTCAGTAAATGGCATGCATATTGAAGAAACCAGCTCTTATAAGTATTTAGGACATGAGATACGCATAGGAAGAGATAATCAAACGTGCGAACTAAGCCGCCGCATAGCCATGTTCCTAAATCAGAACTGCCTATGTGTCTTAAAAGAAAAGTCTTTAATCAGTGCGTGTTGCCAGTACTTACATATGGTGCAGAGACATTAACACTAACCAGGAAAGTAAGAAATAAAATTTGTGTTATCCAAAGAGCCATGGAACGATCGATGTTAGGCATTTCTCGTAGGGATCGAATCACGAACAAGTAAATAAGAAGGAGAACAGGAGTGACCGATGTCATAGAAAGAATTATGACCCTTAAGTGGAACTGGGCGGGGCACGTCGCTAGAATGTCGGATAACAGATGGACACAGCGAATAATACAGTGGACAAGAAGCACGTCGAAGTAGAGGTCGTCCACCAACAAGATGGTCTGATGACATAAAAAATTAATCGTTTAGAGGTTTTGGGTGGTTGAACGTACTGTAATATTAATAATAATACTAGTTCAAAATAATACTAATAATAATGATTGTTTAAAAATAAAAAATCATACACTTTTTATATGTAACATATGCTATTATGCAAAAACAAAAACAAATAAACGACCTACCTAATATCATTACCAGATGTACTGGAATCCACTTCTGCCAACTGATTCGTAGCTGCAGCTTCCGCGTTGAATTGATGCCCCACACCAATCTCATTATTATAAGGGCCTACATCTTTAAACTCGAAATCCTCAATCTGCTGCTGATGCTGATTGAGTCCTGTCGAAGCGCCAGATATTCCAGAAAACGTAGACAGTCCTTTACCGACAATTTTTCCGAGGCCTCCCAAGATAGACGGCAGGAACATAGCAATCAAAACGCTCTTGATCAATTGGGCACCTATAAAGAATGGCAGCAATAGTTTCTTCAGTCCGAAAGCTAGAAAACCCATACCGAAGCCGGTCAAAAAAGAACTCTTGCCAGAGTCCCCTTTATTTGGCTCACCTAATAGAAAAAGTGTATTATATTTATGACTTAGTAGCTGTGATGAAAAATGATACATGTTTGGAAAATAGCTGAAAATTATGGTTGAAACTGAAAAACACGTCAATATTTTAACTACATATATATGCAAATTTACAAATTATATGATTGTAAATATTTAATTTCATTTTGTTATTAATATTTAAGGTTTGTACAAAATTCAAAACATTTAAAGCATTTAACATGGAAAAACTTTGCAATATTTTTTACTATAATTTCAAGGCAGTGCAATAATTCTCTTACCTGAAAAGCGACGAAACCGTAATAATATGATATAAAAGTCGAAGAATAAAATATACAAACGCATTATAAATCCGATAAAACTGGGTCACTTTCTGTATGCATGGAAGGGTGGATAGTTGAAAACTGTGTTAATCGAGCCTTTCCTGTGACTGATATATTATGTAACTTGTATCTCTGTTGTAAAATAAGATTATCAGATTGGTTATACCCAATAGAACTAATGTCTCAATATAATATATATTTTGCCAATCTCTTAATTAATTTTGTTAGCTTATTGGTAGTACCTAGGAGTGATTTTGCACCGGAATGGAACATGGAGGAAGCACGTATGAAAGGTGACCCAGAAGGCTGCGAATAGTGCGGCCACGTTGGGAAGAGTGATGCCCAATATTGGGGGACCCAAATGCAAAAGGAGGGGCCTTACACGGTGTTGTGCGTTTGAGCGTTCTCTACGCAGCACCAGTTTGGAGCGGTGCGGTAGAGATAACGGCCTATAGGAGGCTCATGACACAAGTGGACAGAACAAATCTGTTGCCAGTTGCATGCGCCTACAGGACTGTGTGTGAGGCAGCTTTGTGAACCTTCGCCAGATGTGTTCCGTTGCATTTTTTCGCCTAGGAAAGAAAAAAACTATGAGAGAAGAGACCCTAACCTTACTATGGCCAAGAGAAGACAGGAAAGGGAAAGGTTAATCAAAAGACGGCAAGACGAATGGCTCAACACGAAGGATATGGCACTGTGGACAAAGATGCTGAACCCAAACATAAGAGATTTGGGAGGACTGTGGTCATAGGCGACTGTATTATTTCCTAACGCGAATACTCACAGGACACTGGTGTCTTAGGGTTTCGGTTTAGAGGTTCAGAAAAGCTGACAGAGATGAATGCCTATACTGTAGACACTCGGACACTGACATATGCGATGTTAGAGTACAACAGATGGGTAGTATGGGTAGTAGAAAAAAGCAAAATAGAGAGACAGCTGTTAATTTTATTAAAGTGAGAGAGAAATTAAGAGAATGATTGAAAATAAAGCAGGTTGGACTAGTATACACAACTATATTCATGCAGTAATCAAGAAAAAAGAAAAAAAAAAGAAAGACCAGCAGCAAATGTAACAAGGAAATATGCTGGAAGCTAAAGGTAGAAAACTGAATCGAACTGTACGAGTTCGACTGTGTAAGTTAGGCTGTGAGAGTCAGACTGTGGGGAAGGAGGAAACGCACATCTGAGAGTGATGCCATACTAGGAGCATTGAAGGTAGTGCTTCGAAAGTGATGCTGGCCTTACAGCGGCTTTTCCGCTTCCGGATCGCTGGAGGACAGAGGAGGGTCTGGTTTAGCAGTTAGGGGTTCGGCGTAAAGTCGGCGACGAGAGGACATTTTAAAGTACTTCGAAAACTATCGCTGGGAGTACGAAAAACCAATCCTGCATTAAGGTCAGTCAGGAGACATCCTGGACTGAGATGTCTTTAGAAAAATCCAGATCCCCCTCTATAAAGACGCAAAAAAGCTTATTTGTAGTTATTAGTTATTATTTTATTTTTATTTAGTTATTTATTGTTTGTTCTATGTTGCTTTAAGCTCCTAGTTTTTCCTAAGCAAAAACTGTTGTACTAGGACCTAATGATGGAGAGTAATATTGTAAGCATTGAAACCAGTAGCCCAAATTTACCAACACTTAAAATTACTTTAGATTATAAGTATTGACTTATTTCCAATATAGTAGTATTATAGACTCACACTAGCAACCTTTTGAACAATTAAGTCGTTTAAGGAAAAGTCATGGGTTGTCCTACACCAAAAGGCACCGACTCATTCTGTCGTGGCTGTAAGTGTTTTACTTTTAAGTATCCTCCTTGGCTACCCTTTATTCTTTATAAGGATGTGGTAACTCTATGTGATGCGACGCATGGTTGTTATCCGTTCGTCTCTCTCCTAGGAGCGGTGTGTTTTATTGGCTCCCGACATAAAGATTTCGCAGATGTATCGCAGAGTATTAAAAATATCATGGATTGCTAGAATCACAAATTAAGAAGTACTGGAAAGGTTTGGTAAAGATACAGAACTAATCACCATTATACAAACCAGAAAACTGGAATACCTGGGCTACGTGATGTGGAGACCAAAATATATAATTTTAAGACTTATAATACAGGGAAAGATTCAAGGGAGAGGATCTGTTGACCGAAGACAGAATTCTTGGTTGAAGAATCTACGTGATTGATTGATCTTGGAGAATTTCATCAATGTACCTGGCAGCTGTTATGGAGCCTATCGGAACGATAAACAATTTTGTACGTGCCTCTAAAGAAATTATAGCCCACTACCCTAGGACTTAAGATACATTCTGAAAAATGTTTATGTGGCCTTCACCTTACTCTCTCACTGCCATCTGGCGAGGTTAACCTGGACTCTTTGGTAAATAAAAGTCTATCCAATTTTTCTTCTTGTGCCGTCTTCTAACGAAGGTTGGCGATCACTTCTTTAAACGCTTCTCGATCTTTTGCAACGTGAAATATCTGTTCAACACTGAGATTAGTCCAATCTCTTATATTCCTCAGCCAAGATTTCTTCTTTTTTCCCAAGCCTTTTCTTCCCTCTACTCTACCTTGCATAATGACTTGTAGCACAAAGTATTTATCGTTACGGAGTATGGGGCCCAGATACGATGTTTTTCTTATTTTAATTGTGCTCATAAGCTTTCTGCCATGTCCAACTCGTCTTAACACTTCCTCATTTGGGACTTTTGCAGTCCAAGGAATCTTCAAAATACGCCTATGTACCTATCCAATTATTTACAGTAAAATAAGCATGATTTTTGGTAAACTAAAGCCGCAAAACTCGATGGAGCTGGAGAAGCTGTAGGCCTGTTGCAAGTCTGCGACTATTTACATTTGCTTCTCCAAGCCTTCGTCTAATTATTCGTTTACTAACGTTAGTATTCCGGACGTACTGAAGTTTATTTCGGATTTCTATAGCCGCGGCACGACGATCTGGTAGACTTTGTAAGAGGATGAAGCGATTATCACGGGCACTAGTTCTTCATTGGGAATCGGTTCCAGGTCATCTAGTATAAACTTCGGTTGCCAAGAAATATGTAAAAATAGGGTTCACAGTACGATTGGATATTTAATACTTTTGAGCAACATATCACTCACTTTTACCGTCTTGAAGCAACGCGACAATTGTAGCACCTGTTTCGGGATTTACAACAATAATTATTGAGATTAAATTAATGCAATTGAACTTCAAACTCTGTTTGATACTTGATTGGACTTGACAGTTTACTCACATTAATAAGGACAAAAGAATAAAAATAGAATACCAACAGCTACCTTTGCATTTTTAAAAGTGATAAGAATAGTGTATTTTTTATTTCTGATTTTTTATACATTTTTTTTTCGGATAAGCACTTAAGTTTTATTAAAAATTACTTATAGTCCAGGCTGTGAGGCCGCTCCCGTTGGGAAAATGTTTCTGATTCGGTTTCTTCGCGGATTCTGGTTCAAAAATGTCCCCTTTAAACAAATCTGAAGGGTGCCGAAATTTTTGGGCAGAAATTGTTAAAACAATTTTTTTTAACAAAGTCCAAAAATAATTTTTTTTAATCTGGGAAACTTTTTTTAGGTTTTTTGGACCATTCTAAACAAAAAAAGTCTCCTGTCATTTTTCTCTAAAGTTGATAGTTTTCGAGGTATAAGCGATTTAAAGTCTGAAAAACGCGAAAATACGCATTTTTGAGGCTTGAAAACACATATGTAAATTATTATTTTTGAGATTACCAAGTGTCTAAAGTAAAGTTTAAACATTCAACTTCAAGATTGTGTAGAGTAATCGGGGCTTATTTTAATTTAGACCGTTGTTTTTTAATTGTTAATTATGCGCGTACACTCGATTTTTTAGCCACCGCGGCGCCGCGCGCTACCGTGCGCCTCTATTGTACTTATGCATAGTTTACATATACTTACAAATAATTATTATTTATTGAGTATATATTTATTTATATCAATTGAGTTATAATATAAATTTCGTCTAAAGTCTAATAATAGTTACATAAAATAATTGTACAAAAGATTGTTAAATAACACACTAATATCACTCAGTAAAAGTATCTTTGTTTTCACAAAAATCTAAATCACATCCACATAATGGTACACAGTTGACATGATTTTTCTTGCAGTTGCAAGCATTAGTTTTGCAAGTCTTTTTGCATTTGCACGGTTTCCCAACCCACCACTATCAGACATATAATATCCATATTGTGTAAAATCGAGAGTTTGATAGCGGGAATATTATGGCATTTCGCCAAATATATGTTTTAGCGAAAGCTCTTAACAAGTGTTGGTAAAGTGCGTCAGAGGTACAAGGTATATTGGCTAGATTAAATTAAATTTTTCAGTCACACTGTCTTTTCGTCGAAGAGCAGCATTTTGTATTTTTATGTAAAAATCTACTTTAGGTTTTTGCACTAACTTAATATTGTTGATGTTATTACAAAAAATACAAACCAAATTTTCTTCGGTAAGTTTTCATTTAAGAAGAGGTACGGAAAAAGACATTTTAAATCCATTCACAATTTTTTTAATAACACATTAATAATATAATACCCTTTTAATGGGCATTAAACAATAGTCTTCCTAATGATGGTTTAAGTAATAACAAATCAAGTATGAGCGCGCGATTGTTAAACACCGTTATTGTTTTTAAACACCGCGCA